TATGGTATACGTAATTATTTTTAATTTATTCCAGTTTTTTTGGTTTTGTTGATTAATATTTTTCACAATGTAAGTCATAAATCTGTCAATAGAATGAATTTTAATCAGAATATTGACTAACTCTAGATTTAAAATAAATATAATAAAAGAATAGCATCTATCATATATAGAAATGAAAAAAAATATATAATATATATATATATTCACTTTTTCATATGGGCTTAAAGAATGGGACCCGTATTTATAGATGGGGCCAAGTCTAAAAGCTCACAAAATATTAAATAATTAGATTTTTTTATATAAAAAAATATATATATTTTTTAAATATTAGTATGTCAGAATCAGTACAATTACTTAATTAATAAATTTAATTAAGCATATACACGCGCTACTTGTAACTATCCCTATTTAATCAAACATTTCTTCTTCTAATTGAATCCTTAATTACATTTTTGAATCTGTAATAGAATATGAATATGTTCTACAGTAAGTTTCTTTCCAATTTATTTATTTTTGGATATGAAACACTATTATTTTAAACTATATGATATGATAAATTTTAAAAATTATATATGAACCCGTCTCAGGTATAACCTAAACTTTCTACTAGATATGCATCATTGTTTTACTTGTATAAGAAAATATAATTATTTTTTTTTCTTTAATTATGAAATATCGAAAATACTTCATTCATAAACTATCAATAATGTGATGATAAAAGAGTAAAAGGAGATCCTGAGCTCCTGAGTTAGTCTCTTAACATTATAGGGGTGCACTGAGGTTTTTACTCGCTCGATAGTTTAAAATCTCAAAGATTAGTTAAGTAACAAAATTTGACTCACACCCCGATGCTATAAAAAAAAAAAAAAAAAGTCAGTAGATTTAATTTTATAAATTATTTTATCTACACTAGAAGGTATATGTAGTTTTTATCGAAATTGAAACCAATGAAAGATAAATAAGATTATAAAAAGTGTGAACGCAGTGGTTCCATCAGGATCTAAATGATATTAAAAAACAATCAAAACAAGACAAATAGTAAGTCCACTTGTTTTAATGGTTTAATTAAGTTAATTAATTTATTTACAACTCCAAATATCAAGTGCTGATGGCCAGAGAGGATTGGTTCTTTGTTAACCACCGATAACACTATGAATTAATCACCGGGTAATTAATTCCAGACCATTCCCCCACCAGCCGATGTGTAATACATTGAGATTCTTTGAGACATTTAAAAAATTGTTTATAGTACAAAAGAACCCATTTAATCGCATAAATTAACTTCTAAAAAGTATTTACTCAGCATGACATTATTAGGACAACTAATTTGTCGAATAGATCGTTTTGATTCTCCAATTATAATCCCCTCTTATAGGTTTGGAACTCCTTTTGTTTGGGAGAATATAATTGATTAGTTATATTATTCTTATCAGTTATAATATTGATACTGCAGTAAGAACTATATGTTTGATTTGTGATTAGAACAGAATTTTCAAAAACTAACATACAATTTTATATTCTCTTAATATTGAAAATGTTTATATATATTAAAATTATGTGAAATAGTGAAAACAACTTTAATCGTTTTTTGATTTAAAATAACTTTTTAGGATTGTATTCGCAAACCGTCTTTAAAGCATTTTGACTTATTATACTAAATGTATTTTCATAAGATTTTTTTTGTATCTCTTATTTTCAAAAACAAAAAATTGATATATATATATATTATTATATATATATATATATATATATATATATATATCGTTGAGACAACTAAATTATTATATGAAGAGGTTATAACTTAATAAAGATGTAGTTACAAAAATTATTGTTTTTTATTAAAAAATTATTATTTTTTATTTTTTATTTTATAACTTAAGTTTTAATAGTATTAGGATTTCAATTATTATTTTAGTAGCATTATGATAGTACAGAAATGGATATCATTGAGTCATTGTAAATTGAATGATTAGATTCAACTTCACTATATTAATCAAATTGATATTAATATTTTCCTCAATCTCCAAATGAGAAACACGTGTATGTTTAATTGAAAAAGAAATAATTATTAATTAAATAAAAGAGGAAAAAGAAAATCATGAGGATGATAATAGGAAATACAAAAAATTTCATGTTAGAAGCTCTAAACATGCTTGGGAAGCTAAAATGTTTTGGCTTCAACAGAAGGTATTCATACTGGTGACTTATTACGTACCCGTAAATAAAAGATGTAGTAACAACTCTAAAACATAAATCATTGTCTCAATAACTTTAGATTATATTTTTTATTTCATCTTAATCGTAAATATAACATAACATTTTTTTTTTTTTGGTGATATATATAATTATTACTATGTAAAGGTAAATTTTTTAAGACGAAATCTAGAAAAATTATAACTTATTACAATGTATAGGCTTAGATTTATATATTTTAAAGTGGCAATTTCGTTATTTGAAATATTTATAATTAATGAAATACAGATTTGAGGCATAGATGTCGAGAGTAAAGGCAACAGGGAAAGTCAAGCGTCAGATTCCAGCTAGTTGGACCTACAATGTCAACACCTCTTGTAATTTAGTGCTCAATTTCTTTTATACTTGTAAATTCTATTGGACCCAATCATAGTTTTGAAATATTAAAAATTGTTAGATTAAATCAAATTTCATTTTAGGGAACTGTAATGGGCTCACATTAAGACAATGTTGTTGACCATCTACGGGCCAATTACACTCAACAATTGTCAAAAAAAACAAAAAACAAAAAATAAAAATAAAAATAAATAAATAAAAATTGAATGATGAAAGCAATGACGATTGAAACATTTTAAATGACTTAATCTTAATTTATATAGGTTGGGGTTCGAGATTATCTTCAAATTGCTTGATGTGATATCACACACTTTCCCTTGTTAACATAAATTATTAATTTGATTTTTTTTTTTTAACATCGTTTGCATAGACTAAAAATCGTCTCAAGCCTTATCAGACCCAAACTTATATTTTCTACTATATAGGCCCAAAGCCGTGGCCCAATTCCGATTGAACCAATATCAAAATTCATGTCACAGGCCAAAATGCACGGTCCAAACCCAGCCTCTCTCTAGATTAGGCATCACCATTAACCCACTTAGAGCTAGACCCATTGGTCCAAGATAATTAGGACTCCTCCTATTTGAGTTATATCCTAATTCGCCTAAGATTCCGTATCTTATGAGAATTAGGACTCTTAATTCTATGAAGCAAGTAAATCAAGATCTTTTCCTATTCACTAAACCTCTACCATTATGGACTCAAAGTCTTACTAGGATACGAAGATCCTACGACTACTATATAAACGGGGTCACACCTCTATTTAGGCTTTCAATCTGAATACCACCTATTTGCTTCCAAGCTCTTACTTTTAAGAGTTATACACCTACGCCATGGTTCTAGTCTCCGACTAAACTTCCGGTAACCGTTCCTTCCCTTAGCCCTCACTAAATTGTCTCATTCAACCTTATTAACTTGAGCGTCGAAGTGCATACAACAGATACCACACCGGTGTTTACGTAAGCTTCACGCTTGTTTACTTTGTATGGAGGTACAACGGATTGTCAATGACCCCAACTTCATAGGATCATACCTTCTTTCCGTAACCGTAGATTTTAGCATCTACAATTTGGCTCCCATTATGGGGCCTCTGGCAATCAATTCCCGTTCAACATCTTGCTCTACAGAGAATCGCATTATGGATGAAATCACAGACACTGCCTCAGCGGATCTTGTAGCTAAGGTTGAGGCTTTTTCGACACTGATGCAGTAAACAGGCCAATAAGGTCACGACACTAGAAGCCGAAAACAACAACATCCGAGTTGAAAATCAAAACTTACGGGAAAAAGGTAACTCAATTTTATGCTCTTGATTTCCCATTCAACCTGATACCGGAGAACGGATTCCGCATCCTGATGAACACCATGCAACCCTTCCAAACCCCAGATCCCAAATCCTCAGCCTCAGACTCACAGTCTTCCCAACTCTAGTCATCCATAACAGATGGCTTGGCACTCGCCATTACAAACACAACAAACCTAGCCATGCAAACATGACCCCTATCAGTTGGTCCCTCAAACACCCATGACCAACTCACTCAAGCCATCCCCAGCCATTAGCAACAAAATATCACCAACATCGACCATCCCATTAGTATGAATGACCCACACTACATCCAAGACCCTTCCAGCTCGGCTTTTCCTTATGGGTTGAGTAATCACCCCTACCAAACACCCCTTAACTCGGCTCATCCTCATGGGTCGAGCAGCCCCCAGGTCACACTTTTAACCATCCATGTTGGCAGAAGCACCTGGATCATTACGCTCAGGATGACTTATCCTAAAGGGATGAATGAAGCCCCCAACACTCAAACAACGAGGCACCAAGCTACACCCAATGACTCGGCTCGCCTCACTAGACTGAGTGAGAGAAACACCTATCCCCAAATCGTTAATCCAGACTTGTTATCTACCGCCACTCCCTTTGAACAAATATTAGCAAAGAAGCTGGCCGACATGGAAGCTATGATGAGACGTAAACCCTATAGCTATGCCGACTCACCCTTCGTTGACTCCATAGCCCTAGTCGAGATATCTTAAAAGTTTTCCATCCCAAACATGAGACCCTATGACAGTACAACCGACCTGGATGATCACATTTCCTTTTACAAACAGAGGATGTTTGTCGTCTCCATACCACTCTCAAGGAAGCATCCATGTGTAAGAGCTTTGGTTCCAACCTCTCAAGACTGACTCTTCAATGGTATACAAACCTCCTTAACAACTGCATAGGTTCATTCGCCCAGCTCACCGACACATTCATTGAGTAGTTTGCAAGCATAAAGAAACTTGAGAAATTGTCAGCCGACCTGTACAGGGTCTATCAGAAGAAAAGAGAACCGCTGCGAGAATATGTCAATCGATACAATAAGGAGAAGATATATATCCCATCCTGCAATCCTGAAACAACAATGGATGCCTTCAGGAAGGGGCTCATCCCTAATAGGGAACTTTACAAAGATCTTACTAAACTGGGTTACAATACCATGGAGGATGCTCTGGCCCGAGCAATCATTCAAATAAGGTGGGAGGAGGATGAGGCAAATCGTAGAAGGTATACACCCTACGATGATCACCTATAAAGCCGAAGCGACAGACGCCCAAAAGCTCGACAGTATGAAACAAACAACCCACCTCCAGCTCGCGGTCCCAATAGAAGTAATCAAAAACTGTATGACCGCCCACCAGCCCGACCTGCATGCAAACCCTCCAGCTCTACTCCATTCATGGTTCCTGAGTATAATGTTAATGTTCAGCCGGTGACTCAAAAATCAGTGGAGTAAGTTACTCCTCGACAAAAGGCATGCCCGAGCAAGCCATCACCTTGAAGCTCGCTCTTCCCATCCACCCACATAGAAGCCCATTCAACAGTAGGCCTGACAAAACAAGTCCGGACCTGTGGGTTGGCTCGTACTCGAGTAAATAATATAGGGTATGGGTCCACCATTTTAGACTCATTTTTTTGGACCCGTACCCGGCCCTACCCATTTTGTAAATGGGTAGATCGGGTATACCCATGGGTACCTATAATTTTTTTTTTTTAAGCTAAATCCCTAATTCCTAAAATTTCATTATCCAACTCTCTTCGATTCAACACTAAAAAATTCGACTCTTCTCCTCATTATCTTCTTATCTAAAAAAAGAAAATCAATTAAGAAATCTCCTAAAAAAATTAATTAAGAAGTCAAAAGAAATGTTGTCGAAACTGTTCAGATCCGAAATTGTGCTCAAAAGAAAAAGAAAGGATTGAGGAAGAAGAACGAAGAGAGGAAGAAAAAGGGATCTGGTGTGCCAAAATTGTTTAAACCATGGCAGCTGAAATTGTCAAGAGTCGGCCAACTATTAATCATAAACCCATCCACAAATAATGAAAAAACTTCAGATTTAAACAACCACAAACACAAAAGCAACCTAGAAATCCTTACCCAGTTACTCAAATAAAGAAAAGAAAATAATAGAGTGAAGAAGAAAAGAAAATAAAGAAAAAAGATAAACGAAAGGAATAGTGGAGTGAAGAAGAAGAAGAGAGGAAAAAAAAGGAAACGGAAAGCAAAAAGAAGAATAAGGAAATGGACGATGGAGTGAAGAAGAAGAAGAGGAGAGAAAAAAAAAAAAAAAAAAAGGAAACGGGAAGCAAAAAGAAGAATAAGGAAATGGACGATGGAGTGAAGAAGAAGAGGAGGAGAGATAAAAAAAAGAAACGACAAGGAAATGGATTGTAGAGTGAAGAAGGAGAAGAGGAGGGAAAAGGGAAGGAAAAAAAGAAAAAAATCATTACCCATTTACTCAGTTGCCCTTATTTCAAGTCAATATGCAGAAATTATAGGGGTGTAATTGTAAAAAATGAAAACTATAGGAATTTTGGGGGTGTAACAGTCATAATTTAAAATTTTTATGAACAGTATGGGTACCTGTGGGTCCACTCATACCTGCATAGGGTAGGATGCGGGTCCAATATTTTGGATTCGTTTAGATCGACTTGTTTAGGACCCATACTTGTTTGGATTGAATCCATACCTGGCCCATTTGCCCGTTTTGCTAGGTTTATTCAACATGTCATCCAGCTTGGAGATGATGAGCCAGTCACCTTGACTGCACCGCACCGCACCATGATGCTTTTGTGATCATCCTACAGATAGTGAATATCCTAGTCAAGAGGATATTCGTGGATGGAGGCTGCTCAGCCAACGTCCTCTTCTTGGAAGCTGTCAAAATGATGGGTCTGGACAAGTCAGATATAAATAGGCACCGTGCCATTTTAGTCGCTTTCAGCTCCTAGTAGAAGTACACCATCGGGGAGATAGCCCTTCCTGTCTACACTAGTGGAGTAAACCGATAAACTACCTTTCTTGTGCTAGACTGCCCCTCACCTTACAACATCGTCCTGTGTCGACCCTGGATCCATGACATGAGAGTCGTCCTTTCAACCTTCCATTAGACAATCAGGTTCCCCACCAGATGAGGATTGAGAGAAATCAAAGGCAATCCTAAGGTCTCAAGGGACTACTACAAGAATGCCTTCAAAGGCAAATCCCACGCCTTATAGTAACTATAGACAAATCCAACTCGTTCAGCCAAGCCAGACTAGCCCTCTATGGAAGAGTTGGATGAAGTCCAAATCCACCTAGACTATCCTGACAGGAAGACTTAGATTGGATCCCGATTGAGTCTTGAAATAAGAGAATGACTGATTTACTTCTTGAAGTAGAATGATGACTGCTTTGTGTAGTCCCACATCGATATGACAAGGATCAGCCCTGAAGCAATTATGCACCACCTCCAGGTTGACCCTAATTGCCACCCGATTAGACAGAAGAGAAGAAAATTTGCTCTAGAGTGAAACTGAGTCATCAATGAAGAGGTAGAAAAATTGCTAAGTAATAGACTCATCTTGGAGGTTCACTATCTCGATTGGTTCACTAATGTGGTGGTGGTTCGAAAGAAGAATGAGAAGTGCCAAGTTCGCATAGATTTCACAGACCTAAACAAGACATGCCCCAAGGACTTCTTCCCACTCCTACACATCAACATGCTGGTTGTTACAGTTTGTCATGAGTTGCTCAGCTTCATGGATGTCTTCTCTGGCTATAATTAGATACTCATGCACCCAAGTGACCAAGAGAAGACTACTGTCATCACAGTGAGGGGCACTTACTGTTAGAAAGTGATGCCATTCGGACTCAAGAATATTGGGGCCACCTATCAATGGCTCGTTAATAAGATGTTTGCAGAACTCTTAGGGGACACTATGGAAGTATACATCGATGACATGCTTGTCAAGTCCTTGATAGCCGAGCAATACTTAGACCACCTCAGTCAGGCCTTCACAGTCCTCAGGAAGTACAATATGATGCTCAACCCAGCCAACTGCTCATTCAGGGACTTTTCTGGTAAGTTTTTAGGATACATTGTGACTTAATGAGAGATTGAGGCTAACCCTGATCAGATTTGAGCAGTCCTGAACATTACCTCACCTACATGCATCAAAGACATCCAACGTCTCTCTAGAAGAGTGTCAACCCTAAGCCGATTCATCTCTCGATCAACTGACAAATGCCACCACTTCTTTGCGGCCCTTCGAAAGTCAAAGTAGTTTGAATGGACCGCAACCTATGAAGAAGTCCTACAGCAACTCAAAAGGTACTTGACTTCTCCCCTTTTATTTTCTAAGCCACTAATCGGGGAAAAATTGTATACATACTTAGCAGTCTTGGAATTGGCAATTTCAATGGTTTTTATTAGAAAAGACAATGGGAAACAACTGCCAGTCTACTATGTAAGCAAGTCACTCCTCGATACTGAGACTTGGTTCAGTGAATTGGAAAAGTTGGCACTGACACTCATCCACGCATCCATGAAGCTCTTGCCCTACTTCTAGTATCACTCCATTGTTGTCCTCACCACTTACCCACTTAAGAAAATCCTGCACAAGCCTAAGCTCTCGAAATGCCACACTCAGCGGATAGTCGAGTTGAGTGAGTTCGATGTCTCCTTCCAGCCACGCACTGCTATCAAGTCTCAAGTATTGGTAGATTTCATAGCAGACTTCACTCCTAACACTTCCACTCAGGCAGAAAGAGAGCTGTTATGCTTGACAAGCGGGACACCTTTGAAGTGCACTCTCTTGGTCTACAGGTTAAGCAATGTAAATGGAAGTGGTTTGGGTATAGTATTGGTTACTCCAGATGGCGAAGTCATCCAGTGGGCCATCTGGTGCGGTTTCAAGTGTACAAATAATGAAGCTCGGTATAAGGCTCTAATAGCCGGTCTTTCACTTGCGAAGGAGATATGGGTGACAAGGTTGGAAGTCAAGTCTGATTCCCAACTCGTAGTAAATCAACTACAAAGCACCTATCAGGGTCGAGACTCAAAGATGACAACATACGTAAACTTGGTCAAAGAGCTTCAGTCGGCCTTCAACGAGTTCACAATATGCCAAGTCCCCAAAACTAAGAACACCCATTTTGATGCACTCTCCAACCTCGGTTCAACCCTTTAAGGTACTTCTGATAAGTGTTCAATAATTGATATTTTCAATTCCTTTATATTAATTTTTGCGATATATTTTATGATTAATTGAGCTGATTAATATATTTTCTGAATTAGGAAAGGAATGGAGGCATGTGAATGAAAGTGGAGCATAATGTGCAGTTTTTAGACATTGGCAGATTCGACCTCTGAAGGTTCAGTGGAGACTTTGACAATTTTAGAGTTCTAGAATGAGAAAGAAGTATGCTTGATATTTTAAGTAGACGTCCTAAGTTTTCTAAAGTGGGCTTACGCATTTTTAATCCTAGTAGATTTGGGTATTCAAAGTTTACATCGAAGTCAGAAGATCCAATCCCGTCATAGCTTGGCCACCATTCAGTAATTGGGCTATAACTTGAGTTTTAGAAGCCTAATTGAGATGCTTGAAGATGTGTTGGAAATATTATAACCAGAGCTACAACTTTTATGAAGATCCCAGGCCCGAATTCAAATTTTTTATGACCCGAAATCAGCTCACAAGTTCCATAAGAAAACTAGTCATCCTGTTTTGAGTTTTCTTTTAGATATATTGTTATGTCATGTCGCTAGATAAAGCCAGTATGATCAGTCTCAATTAATTTTCATGTGTTTCCACCTAATAAAATTTTTGATTTTTAACCAACCTTGAGTGATAAGTGATTCGATAGGGACTCTTGAGTGTATCACTGAAAATATCCTAAGTTCAAGTCCTTCCTTGATTTCTAATAGGGGTGACCACTGACGCTCTTACTCAGTCGGTAGGATCCTGAAAAACTAGTTAAAGAATACGTAAGTTGGCCTGGACACCCTGGTCATCAAAACAAAAAAATATATGGTTTCTTACAGTTTTGTCATAACATCTCTCCTAGTTACAAGCTATATTGTGATTAAACATCTGACTTGAGTATCAGAGTGCTAACCTCAACATCCCGTCGGTGCAACCTGGACCCTGTTTTATGCTTATAGAAACCTGGTTATTAGCTATTACTAGGAGTCAATGCAAGATAGCAAGGCTGCTCACCCTAAATTCAACCATACCAATGACATATATGAAAATTTTAGTTTGGTGCTAACACATTTAAATATATAGTCTTATCATGTAAGAAAAACAATAATGATCTCAGGACTTTATCATTCTTCATTCATATATATCCAAATTATTCTATCAATTAATTTTGGATTAGGGTTAACCTTTCTTCTACTTTATCATTCAATTGATAAGTTCTCAATTATGACTTTTATTTTCAATAACGAGAGTGCAAATAAAACCAGGCAAAAGTCAAAATTATATCTACCAAGAAGTTTCTGTCCATGATTTGTACTCTATTAATATCCCTTAATTTGTGGATGAATAAATTGAAGATAAGCAATAATTTCAGCAATTTTTTATTTGTTTTATTTTGCCAATTATCTCAACTTTTGCTAGCTAAAGAATGTGAAACGTATTAAGTGTATTAATAATTCTCTTCTTTTACAAGTAGTTTTCAAGAATAATGGAACAAAGTGGACTCAATGCCTACAATTTAGGAATTTGAGTTGTAAACCTTTTGGGAGGCTGTACACACGTTTTTAAAGTTATTTGAAGGGGCTATAAATATAACATTAGGTTTTTAAGAGAGAGGGAACACACACACATAGATTTATTCAGAAACACTTGTTGTTCTCAATTTACGATGTTTGGCTAAATTCTTTCAATTCAGTTCAAGGGGATTTCAATTCCTAACACATGTCGATGGTATGATTGATAAAGTAATGTAATTTCTTCCCTTTTTATGGATTTGATTTATGTTATTCTGTTTTAATGGAATATGATTTTTGATTCATTTAATTTACTTCAGGCCTAGTACATTGATTGAATTGATATTGATTGCTAGAATTCGGGATTGTATTACGTAATCAATCTATTCCTAATCACGTAATAGCAATTAGTAATGAAAGATTGTGGACAAACTTTTTATTTTATTGCTTGAATAACAAAACCTAAGTTTAATAATCCAAGCTTGTGAGATTGTTGCTTAAATTAAACTATTTCATTAGAACTTAAAGCAACCATTACATTAAATCTATAGAGCTTGTTCTAGGTTGTCTAATGGTTAGAGAATTTTGAAGAGCATGTTTCACTAGTCAGAATTAAGGAGAATTTCGGGTAGTAGAGCTTGTTACTGCCTAGGGTTGATACTTCCATGAAAGGGTAGGATTGTGTTGCAATTGAGAATATACATTGATTGTGTGAGGATGAGATTGAACCAAGAACTGAAGTTGTTTTCATATTGATTTTCATTCATAATTTTGTTTTTGGTAATTAATTAGTTTCCTTGATTTTACAAACCCCCAATTTATATTTTTGTTATTTAGGTCAATTTGGTTTTCTAGAATTTATTTTTAAACAGTAGGAATTTAGATTCAACTACTTCCCTATGGGATCGACCATTACTCTCGCCATCTACTGGTTAATAATTAGAAGTAAAGTTTATTAATTTTGTAGTGTTGATGAAACGCTGTCAACTTCCGACTCATCCATCCCACTACTTTTTCTCCAATGGTTGGCCGATTAAAAGGAACCTCAACCTGAAATAGAACTGACTCCCAAAGAACACTCCGAGGTTATAGACATTGAGCCAGCCGACTCATGGATGATCCCTATCCTCAAATTCTTAGAAAATGATGAGCTCCCAATTGACAAGAATGAAACATGCTGCTTGAGAGCCAAGGCAGCCAGATTCACCATCTACAAGGGTCAGCTCCTTAAGAAGTTATTCTCTGATCCCTACCTCAAGTGTATCACTTTGAAAGAAGCCCAGTACATATTAGTAGAACTCCATAAGGGCGAGTGCAGAACCACGTTGGGGGACGCAGTCTAGCACATCGAGTGATAACCTTTGGATTCTATTGGCCCACTACATGCTCGGACTCAAGCCTCATATGCCAAGAAGTGTAACAGTTGTCAATTATTTGCTCATGTCTTGCACCTCCCCCTTAAACGACTCAACTTCATCCTCACCCCTTGGCTATTTATGAAGTGGGGAATGGATATCATTGACAAGCTTCCAACCGAACCTAGGCAGTGAGTGTATATGTTGGCAGTCATAGACTACTTCACAAAGTGGATTGAGGCAGAGACATTTGCCCAAGTCCAAGACTAGGAGGTAAAAGGGTTCCTTTGGAAAAACATCATCTGTCGATTTGGGATTTCGAAAGAGATAGTCATTGACAACGGGTCCCAGTTCATTAGCTCTGGCTTTAAGGACTTCTATGAAATGTAGAGAATCAAGCTCAGCTTATCGACACCTCGAAACCCTCAGTTGAATAGCCAGACCGAGTCATCTATAAGATTGTAATGCAAATAATGAAGAAGTGCCTTCAAAAAGCAAATTGCACATGCGCGCACGAACTACCAGGAATCCTATGGTCTTACAGAACCATCACCCACTCATCCATAGATGAGATACCCTTCTCCCTTGCATATATCTCGGAAGCTGTCATCCCAACCGAGGTGTCAATCTCATCACCTAAACTCTAATGGATGAGTAAAGAGTTAAACAGCCAGAACCTATGCCACAACTTGGACACCGTCGATGAGTTTCAAGAACAAGCCCAGATCAGAAACACCATCTACCAGTAGCGGGTTGCTCGGCACTACAACCGCAATGTCCGAGTAAGAATATTCAAAGAAGGCGACTGGGTCCTCCATAAAGTATTCCAGAACACCAAGAAAATCAGTGCTGGCAAACTCGACCCTACATGGGAGGGGCCATACAAGATCACCAAGTAAGTTGGTAAGGGAGCTTACAAACTCCAGTCTCTTAAAGGAAAAGATATCAACCACAGTTGGAACGTCATCCACCTCAAGTGCTATCACTTCTAATAGACCGCATCTTAGCTTCAATTTGTTTTTGTTAATAAAAAAGATGAGTGGGCTTATCTACCTCTTTCACCGCCATTCGGCCTCTAGGCCTCGAATCAATAAAAGTACTATTTCACAGAAAACCATGTTCATCTTCAATCAATTTACATCAACTTGGCACATAAAGACTAATGTCTTAAATTTTTTAACTACAAAGTTGGTCATGCCGACTCACCCCATAAGGCCTAATGCCTTAATTTTCAACTACAGTCGGTCACGTTGATTCGGCCATGAGGCCTAATGCCTTAAATGTCAACTACTAATTGGTCACGCTGACTCGGCCACAAGACCTAACGCCTTGAATGTCAACTACTAGTTAGTCACACCGACTCGACCATAAGGCCTATGGCTTTACTTTCACTGTCAATCGGTCACACTGACTCGGCTCAGAAGGCCTAGTGCCTTTATCTTCACATTCAGTCGGTCATACTGACTCGGCCTACTCGACACTTGTTTTATTATTTACAAATAATTGTAATTTTCTAGGTTAATGATTCAACATCAATAAGTCATACAGACACGGCCTCACAACATCAATGTGAGTATTTCTAACGAGTCAAAGCCAGTCGATCACACCAACTCAGCCTCAAGGTACTTAGCTTTTATTAATGCATGTTTACGCACTCAATCGGTTACACCGACTCGGCCTTAAGACACTAAATAAATCTATGCACTTAGTCAATCACGCTGACTCGACCTTAGTTTACTAGTCTTCAGAAAATGAAACATTCTAAGTATCCACAATTCATACATCGACAAAAGGAAAAGCAACACTCGATAATGAGCCAAATTGAAAATATTAAAGAAGTCTATTAAAAGCCTCAAACGGTTGAGAGTTGAAAATACAAAGCAAAAGGACACTAATGCCTCAAAGTTTACAAAAGTAAAAACAAATAAAACTAAGGGTCCACATGACTCGACTAATCATCCCAAGCTGACTGGTCATCAATTGGCCCAACCTCCTTCTCCTACCCGGTTAACCCTCCAGCAACTATCGCATCCTAAGCAGCTTCGATTGACCTTGCTAGAGTGCATTTTGGATCCTCAGCAAATTCCTCCATTTGGTTTTTGGGATCAAACTTGGCTCGGTCCTCCTCCACTCGGTCATCTCCCCAGCTTGCCTCGGCCTCAATCTCCTCCCAAAGCTCAATATCTCCATCAAGGTCCCAGTGCGCAGTGTTCCCGGCCTTGTATTCCCCCATCAGTTCAGCACAGGCTTTAAACATGACATCTTCAATAATGAACTTGCACCGCTCCCTGAGGCCGACCAACTTTTCCTCTTTCTCGGCCAACTCTTTTTTCATCTTGGACAACACCTTCTCCGTCTCAACCAGCACATTCTTCAATTCGACCGACTCCAACTTGGCCTACTGCTACTTAGCAGAGCTTTCGTTTGCATTCTTCAATGCCTGGGCCTCCTAGTTTTTCAGACCGGTGTTAGACTTGGTCAGCTCTTGGATTCTCGCATCTTAAGAGACTGCGACCTTCTTCAAGTAGAGGCTCTTGTTCAAAGTCTACACAAAAGTATGTAATTAAACTTTGTAACTTAACAAAAACGTTCAAAGCCAAAATATACTCGGAATTGCCGAGTCATTGCCCACTCAACTGTAATAGTCATCACCATCTAATTCAATCGATTTTCATTAGTAGGGAGCAGAAAGAAATCAGCCAAATGCCTCATCCCCTGCATTGAAATAGATCGAGGCCGTGGTAGGAAGGGTGATTGTCACCTTCTCGTCCTCATCAAACTGGACCTCCTTCGATGAACCAGCTCCGGTCAGCGACTGTCCAACTAGAGGGTAGTTTTGGTTTGCTAGACTTGGACTCTTTTCGAGACCGACTCCCTCTTTCTCTTGGCTCGACGTTGTGCGACCACCTCACTCACACTTGGTATGTCCACATTGAGATTCCTCATTAGCCTCTCTACAATGACAAACTCTTCTGGTGCTAGTGGATGAAGAAACAAATGCCAGAAGAGTATATGGTTGTAATAGTGAATCAACAGCATGTGCCACACTTGCTTAATGAGGGGAATGGTATACCTCTTTGAACAGCCTCAACTCCAACCCATAGATCACTTGTTCTCACGTTGGATTCCTTTAATATCTCTCTCTAGTCTCTCAACTCCTTCGGAATTGTGAGAACTTCTCTCGTTGTCACATCCAAATCATCTCTGCTCTGTCTGGCTCGGTTGTAGTCGGGATATGTAAGAGAAAAATGAGAATAAGACTTAGTAATCACAAGTATAAAGTAGAATCAATCTCTCACCCGTGGCTCTCCATGTGCATGGTATCTCACCCGACCTCTCTAGTCGAATATGACCTCGCCCTTTTAGAAGAAGAACCGCTCGTTCCAATTCTTGTCACTCGACCAAAGGTTGGTCACTAGGTGGATGCGATCATGCCTTAGGGTGATGGCATACCTACCCTTCTCTCAGTCGTGCTCTTTCAGATAATAAGAATATAGCAACTGATGCAGACCAAACATCACTTGTTTTTGGATGCACATCACCAACAAGGATAGTAGCAGTCTCTATCTGTTCAGCATGATTTGGGTCGGTGCGATCATGAAGTGGTTCACCACCTCCTAAACGAGTCGGGGTATGGGCTGATGTAGCCCATCATGAAACCACAACTCATACACACTTACCCATCCTTTTGCCTCCTAGTAAACCCTTTCGTAGCTCTTGGGTATCCTAATCTCTACTGAGCTAAGAATGTGATACTGGGTCCTAATCTGCCACTCGCCATGCTCCTTAAGTAGAGGCGGATAGTCGGTGCCCAAAATCCCACTACTCGGTCTGCTCGACTTGTCTGCTAATCCCCTACTCATCGAAGCCTCACTCTCACTATGTCGGGCTCATCATCCGATTCTTCCCCACTCGTCCCTTGCCTCTTAAAACTATCACTACTCGAGCCAATAACGTCACCCGGCTTGGAGACGTTACCCTCTTCTGGCAATACCACCATGGTGGGAGTACATTCATACTCACCTCTCGTGTCCATCTCCATCTGACCCTCCTCACTCAACTCGGTGTGCGACATCTAATAAATCGTTGTAGCACTTCTTAACTCACTCGACTTGGTTGAGTAGAATGACCGGATGACCAAGTCAACCTTAACCTCAACTAGCCCTGTAATGTACAACTTAACATCGAGATGAACCGAATGGAGACACTAGGTAATTGGCTTCTCTTTCTTCCAAAACCTAGAAAACCTAGAACTCCGAGGCTATTTAACTCAAAAAACACTCCCCTCTCAAAATCCGTTTCTCTCTCCATAAAAAAAACATACCAAATAGACGCCACTTATGACCTAAATTAGCTAGAAATTCCAGAAATAGGTCCCAAAACTGTATTCCAGGAAACCCCAACCTATTCACCACGGAAACACTTTAAAGACTCCCAAAATCACCCTAAATTGTTTCTAAAACTCTCAAAATTTGAAGAAGACTTAAAAAGGACGCAAGAAAAAAAAACATGGAAAGAAATCAAAGATTTACCGTGAAAAGTGAAGGAAAATCTCAAGGAAAAAAGTTTTTTGTAGAGGCGTCTTCTCTTTGGAAATAGGGATGCGAAGATACGAAGGGTCGCCCAAACATATTTTTCCCTTCTTTCTAAGCGCCCAACCTGTCAGAGGTGGCACGTGGCTGCTGCCAATTAGGTATGACTGTTCGAATTTTTGCCCAAAATGAAGATGAAATCCCTATCGTACACGTGTCGTGTAGTAGGTTCACATCAGGATTTGCAATCTTTCGTTTCCTGCTCAAAGTCTACGAAACCCTACGTTACATGTGTCTTGTTCTCTCGGTGCCACCGAATCGCACTCAGACAAAACTCACCTCATCCAGACAAGCCGACTCGAGCTCCAGTCCTCGAAGTGATGAATACTTCCTCTCAAAGTTCATGGACAGACCATATTTGCACTTGGCTTGGTTGGTCGAGTGAGGACATCTACAAAGGATGTGCTTTGCATCCTCTCAATCGGCTCGGTCAACCAAGTGGGCACAACTATAAAAGGTTGCACCTCACATCCTGTTACTCGGCTCGGTCAACCGAACAAAAGGGTGCATTTTGCATCTTATGACTCGGTTCGGCCAGCCGAGTGGGGACATCTATTATAAAGGCACTTTGCATCATTCATTAGGACAAAACACCTTCATTCGCTCGAGGAAACACTCACTTGGCTCGGGATACCATTGTCTGACCTGGTAAATCTCCACTCAAACTGATTACTCTCCAAGCTAAGTACTTCTTAGTTTAGAGAGTGGGGGGCTAACTATGTGGACCAAAAATTGTCTTAGGCCTTATCAGCCGTGGCCCAATTCCGATTGGGCCAACATCAAAATTCATGTCATGAGCCAAAATGCACCACCCAAACCTAGCCTCTTTCCAGATTGGGCATCACCATTAAGCCACCTAGGGCCAGACCCATTGGTCCAAGATAATTACGACTCTTCCTATTTGGGTTCTATCCTAATTCGCCCAAGATTCCATATCTTATGAGAATTAAGACTCTTAATCCTACTGAGGCAAATAAATCATAATCTTTTCTTATTTACTAAACCTCTACCATTATGGACTCAAAGCCCCACTAGGATACGAAGATCCTACGACTACTATATAAACGGGGTCACACCTCTGTTTAGGCATTCAATCTCAATAACACCTATTTGCTCTCAAGCTCTTACTTCTAAGAGTTATACACCTACATCGTGGTTCTAGTCTCCGATTAAACTTCCGGTAACCCTTCCTTCTCTTAGCCCTCACTGAATTGCCTCATTTAGCCTTACTGACTTAAGTGTCAGAGTGCCTACGGCAGACACCACACAGGTGCTTACGTAAGTTTCACACTTGTTTACTTTGTGTGTAGGTACAACAGATTGTCGGTGACCTCAACTTCACAGGATTAGACATTCTTTTCGTAACCGTAGATTTTAGCATTTACATCATTTCAATTGCTTGATCAGATCTCATCTAATAGAGAGAGACTTTATTCACCTTCAAGTTTCAATCAACTCAGTTTAGGTCCTGCATTTTAAAATATTAAGATTACTTCCCTTAAATTTAACGAAGATTTACATAATTGTTTAATTGTGATGATTTTATTGTCTAATTATTAATTAAATAATGATATAATTAAAAAAAACAAATGGCTACCTTTTCTTAAATTCAGTAGAGGTGTATTTTAAACTACCGGAGTAAGAAAAGACCTAAATTAATTAAATTCTTGGGCTTTAAAATAGGCTTTATCAATTTTATCTCCCAATGATGGGCTAACCATGGACCTAGCCCATTTAATTATGTAACGGTTTCTTCAAATCAAACTCCAACCAATCACAACCTAACTTGTGGCTGGCGGGAATCGGGTATTTTCCGAAGGACAAAAAGGCCCACTTTTTGATGAACCAAAATACCCTTTACCCTTTAACGTTTGGGTTGAGTTGAACTGAGTTAGCCTCCTCAGCTTCAAATCATGGCGACTGCCGTAAGTACGCTGGCCTCAGCAGCAGGAGCACGTGCACTGGCTCATGCTTTGCCACGTGCATTGCTATCAACAAGATGGTCATGTTCCAAGATGGGTGTTAATGCTCTGCAGCTAAGGAGAAGTGTACGGATACAGTCTCCAAAAACAAGAAAAAGTTTGATAATAAGAGCTGCAAGAACTGAGTCTCAAGGAGTCTCCTTGGGCTTCAGAGCCCCCCATTTTGAGGTGGTTCCTCATGATTATGGATAAAATATGTGTGCTTGGTTAGTTTCTGTATTGTTCTGAAGTCTTGATGCAATTTTTATTTTTATTTTTTGTTTTGCTCAATTGGAGAAAACTAGTTGCCAGAACCACTGACTGGGAAAGTTTGGAAATTGGAAGATTTTGAAGCCTATCCTGCTTTATTGGTAAATTTGGATTCCCTTCTTTTTTTATTTTGCCTTATGTATCTTTGTTGATGGGTTGGAATTTTTTTTTCTCCTCAATGTTAATATTTGAGACAATTGTATTATATAACATTTTACAAGTCTGGAATTGTGTTATAACTTACATTTTTTGCTCGAATGACGGTTCTAATTTGCAAGTTTGAGATTTGCATAAGTATTATATATACTGTGCCTTATATTTGTCTGGTGGCTTCATTTCATTTGAAGAAAAGCATATGTGAGAATTCGTATGTACAAATTAGATTATAGAAGAGTAGAATGTAATGATAGTTTGAATTTTCAATGAAAGGCGTTGTCAGTACGCAAGCTAGTTATACATCATGCTTGTATTCGTGTTACTATTTAAAAGAATAGCACTGGGGTGCTCCGCCCCAATTAATATGGATTTTATGGGTTATATTTGTGAATTATGCTCTGAAATAGTCAAATTTCAAGCCAAAGTTTTTCAAGATTAAAATTTTAGGTACTAATTTGAAATTGTTGGAGTCCAACTAATGAGTTTGGCCTATTGGATCATTTAAGAAAATGAAGTGATATGAAATACACAAAACAATGGTATTACTATTACAAGCTTTTAAACTCTTGAAGCTAACTGTTAGGATGCTGGAATGTAAGTACGATGAATGGAATAAAGAACTTCAAATTATGCATTGAAAATTACCAAAAACTTTAGTCTATTGTACTCAGAGGTTTGATCATATTTAGTTTCTGTTGTAAAAAAGGAAAGGAATAGGAAATGATCATTTTACAAGCACTAATTAAAGTTTATATAAGCCTGGTATTATGCCTAGAAAGAATGACAATTATTGATAAGCCTGAGTGGGAAATTTCCTCTATTTCCTCTATTGGACAATGAATATCGGTATATTTCTCTTCTAACATATAAGCAGTCATGGGATGCATTCTAACTTTATGGTGGTGCAGGTTATATTTATCTGTAATCACTGCCCATTTGTTAAACACTTGAAGAAGGATTTTGTGAAGCTTGCGAATTATTATATGGAGGTAGGCCATTCCTCCTGAAAGGCTGATTGATGCTTCATTCTGAAGTTGCAATAGTAGCACATCCTAATATCATTGCATTTTTCTGCAGAAAGGACTGGCGGTTGTTGCTATATCTTCAAATTCTGTAGCTACTCACCCTCAGGTTCTAGTGACTCCATAATTTACAATTAGAGCTGAATTGAAATTGTTGTATGACTTCTAAAAAATGAAAATGTTCTTCACAGGATGGACCAGAATTCATGGCAGAAGAGGCTAAATTATTTAATTACCCCTTCCCTTATCTTTATGATGAGGTATGTTGATGCCAATCTCAAGCTGCTCTTCATTATTTTTATTATAAGGTCTCTTAGGCATATGACAATTCCTTTCTGTCTAGGATGATATAATTTTAGCCTCAGCTAAAGTAAAATGGTTTTGGTTGATCTGCCACAGTAATTTTATAATAACTGAAATCTCCTTTGGTGTGCTTTGTTTCATTCTCTTTGAATTTGTAGCCGGGAATATCCTGACATTTGCAACTAGTACTCTGGAATTGGAGCTCCTTGTTGTTTTATACAAAGGTTTCTAATGTGTATTTTATACCATTATAGAAGTTTTTGATGATGGCTGGCTGAGTCAAACTTTGAATTTGTGACTATTTGTAGTTAATTACAAACCAACCGAGGGAGGAATGTGTTGAACCATGTCTGCAAAAGAAAATTATGAACCAAAGTGAGAAATTTCAGTGGCATCTATTCTTGATTTTAGCTATGCTTAGCATTTTCCTAATAAATTTTGATTTTGTTTGGGAAATGTAGTGATATGGAGTCATAAGTTTACTAATCTCCAGAAGATCCTCTCATTCAATTGAATTCCTTTCTTTCTTTTATGGTTTTTGGGAGCAAGAGAGGGTGTGACTGTGAAATAAATGTTTCGTTTAGATCTTGGTGGTTCCATTTCTTTATAAACTATTTTCATTTAATTATTATCTGAATATAAATTTGTTTTATTGCATTAAGGAATTTTGCATTTGTATTTTGAGGAAAGACTATTAAGGAATGAAATCCTTGGAGATCATAGAATCTTATTCAGCTTGTTGTATTATGGTTTTCCATTATTGAAACATGTGAATGTTGTTATTTTCTTGTTACTTTATCTTCCCTGAAAGTGCCTCTTTATTCAACTTCAGTCACAAGATGTCGCACGGGATTTTGGAGCTGTCTGCACGCCAGAATTTTTCCTGTATAAAAAGGTGATCACTACTGACACTGGCCAGATACCTTTTTTCAGCTTGCAGTTTTCAACTTCACTCACTGCTTTGCTGTGTGAAAACCTTCACACGCAGCTTCTACTGAGCCTGGATAAGGGATGTTCTGACAGTAGCCACACAGCCTTCTAAGAGAATTCTCTGTTGGATCTCATAAAGATAAATTCTAAACTTGTGATAAGTGCAAAAGGATTCATGTAGCTGGTTCAGTATTGGGGTTCAGGCTTAGATAAATTGACTTTCTAATATGAAACCTAATCCCTTTTCCTGCTTGAAGGCTCTTATTTATGGCTGCCCTCATAACGTCCTCTCTGGACCAAGTATTGTGATCTAAAGTTATAAAGTAAACCTCTTGTGTTTTCACGAAGACTAGAAAATTATTTTGCTTATTTCCTAACATAAGGTAAAATGACTGCAGGATGGTCGAAGGCCATTTGAGCTGGTGTATCATGGCCAATTTGATGATTCGCGGCCAAGTAATAATCTGCCTGTTACTGGGAGGTCAGTTTACACTCTCTTAAGTTCATGTGGATTTACTCTCTCTCTTTTTATTTATTTTTTATGTTTTTAATATTTCATATCTTAGTAACTAATCTGGTTCATTTATATATTGCACAGGGACATATGTGGTGCAATTGAATGTGTTCTCAGTGGACAGCCAGTATCATCAGTTCAGAAACCCAGGTATCCTACTTATTAGTTACTATCTGTCATCATGCATCTTTGTTAGATGTCCTTTAAATCAATGTATTCCATGATTACATGCTCAAAGTCATTATTTTCCATTTTTCAATAGTGTTGGTTGCAGCATAAAGTGGCACCCACAGAAGGAGCAATGATGTGTAAATGTTCGTTTCAGCCCTCTCAAGATCATACTGTATTATTGTAAATTTTGCTTTCAGGTGTGGGTTGTCTTCTTTGTGATGGTTGATATCCATTCAGATCTTAGATATAAGTACATACACTTTTTTTTTTGTTTTTTGGCCTAATTCCATATCTAGTATCATTGGCTTATCACTTCAGAGTCTTGTAAGTATCGCAGGCAAAATGTAAAATTGAATGTAACATTTGATAATTTTGTTTTTATGTGCATCTAATTCAATTTTACTGGTGTTATATATAACAAATTTTTTAGCTTCTCGGAGTCCCAAAGGTTCAGTTGAGTGGTAAAGGTACTTAGTTTTTAGTAAGAGGTCAATGGTTCAGTCCCGGAACATCTCTGTCAAATATTGTATCCTACGAATTTTCTAGCAATCAAAATTCTAGGTTTTCATGTGGCTTGCAATTTAGAACTTGTTAAATAATTTTAGTCCGGATTTACAAAACGGATATATATTTTAAGAGAAAGTAAAGCCAAAACAAGTAAAAGACAAAAATAAAGAGAGTTGGATGGATTACCAATTAGAATCCAAACAACCCATGATAGAGCTGAATATTTATAGACAAACATAGCCTAACACAAACATAGAGTAGTATAGCCTTTAGGATCAGCCATCCTGTATGCAAGACATATAAAGCCAAAAACTATGAAGGCTTCTTTATTTCAACATATTACTGTCTTCTGAATATCTTCGTTCCACCAAATACTGGAAAACAAAACATGACCGTGTGCAAATGTGCATAATGGTGACCATAAACATGCTGAAACATGTAAATTTAATGTATGATGTGCTGCCTCAAATTTTTTAAGTGCAATGAAGGATGTTAGAAGATTTAGTGATATATATTTTATGCAAGAAACTCTCCCCCTTGGGACAGATGCACCTGTGTTCGTCTAATCACGATAAGACATGTTAGTGTACATCACAAACATACAAGTCCAGACTCCAGAGGCGGTATCAAGGGCCTGATGAAGGAATTCAGAAAAAAATATTCGTCTTGCAAAATTAGAGTTGTGTTGCATGATATTATGTTAAGTAGGACATTGCCAATGTCCTCTGCTCCAAAGTGCTCGGATTTTTCATGGGTTTGTGTAAATTGTTATGCATCGATGTGCAATTCTTGAGAGTGGTAAGTATTAATTATTGGCTTGTTGGGTCTCCCTTAAGTTCTTAATTTTATTGTCAATGATAATGGGACCCCATTACTTGATCAGACAGAACTTTAACAAAAAGTAATTATTCACTCTTAGTTGCTAATTAGGTTGGTCCGTTGTTCAGGTGTCGGTATCCTGATTTGCTTGAATGTTTGTGTATTGGATTAAAGATTTGCATTGAAATGTAAGCTTCACAATCTGCATTGGATTTGGCTTTGTATTTTATGAAAGGTCTAGAAATTTATATTGCAAGTTTTTTGTGTTGTTTGATAATAGCTGGTGGATTTGATCTTATTATCTTCTGCCATCTGGTTTCATAGTTTTCTTTAAGCCCAATATGAATGAAATTTTTTTGTAATATAATGAAAACTGTAAGTAGGATGAAAGAAGGCTCAATATCAAATCTCTAAGTTTATGTTACTTGTTAGTAGTTTCTAGAAAAAGAAGGCATATAGATATGGATTGGTTTGATCCCAGATGAAATTATGTACATAGTACTCTTAATTATTAAAGTTCAAGTTGCTTGATGAGAATATCTCATAAATGTTACTTGTCTTACTGGTTGCTTGCATTCTTAGCCATTGGAGATTGATAAGGTACAACAAGGTATTTGTGGACCTAAGATGGGTTGATGTCACATGGCCAGAAACAATGAATCCTTTCAAAGAACATGGGGCATGAGATCTCTAAATCTTCTTTGAAATAGATGTTGCTAAAGCTTGTGGGGAATGGTGGTCCTTTTCTTTCTCCATGATTTTATGTTCTGTTAGGCTCATGCCAACCAAGATTTGTGTCACCACCTTAACTTTTCATTCACTTTTCCTTGGCCCAGCTCCTCAAATACAACCCACTGGGCTACAAAACAACTGTTTGCTTCTGTTTGGTCCCCAGTCTGAAAATTGCAATTCCTAAGGCAACCATGTTGATTGATTCTTGGTATACAGTAGAACTTTTTTCATTATTGTTTACTTTCTGTCCACCTATGCTGTTGGGAAACGACTTTTTGGACTGTTGCGAGGACAGTTTGTGATATTATTTTTATCTTTTATAGATGTTGTTTAGAGAAATATTTTTGAAAGTTTAGCTTAATATTGTATACTGTCTCTTGATTTTTGGCATAGAACTTATCAGTTTGATGATATTTGGGTCCCTTGTTTAGGGGTATATCATATCTTCACAGCTATAAATGCTTTGGATTTGGGGAAAAAGATAAACAGAGTTAGTTTGTGATTGTTTGATTAGAAAGTGCCTTCTTTCTGTAGAAAATTGCAACTTCTTTAGAAAGATGTGTAATTTTGTCATTTGCTTTCATTCTTTTCTCTTATTTTGAACTATGCAAATTTGAAGTTGGTTGAACTATCTGTATAATTACAAGATTGAGTAATACACTTCAAGTCAATGAAACCAACAGCTGAATGACAATTATTGACACTACATGATATCAATCTTTACAAATATTTTGTTACTTGAAAAAATAATATTGATGAAAAACTGAAGTTCAAGTAGAGTATGCTATTAGGAAGGTGGTGATCTAATTAGAGGTTCTGATGATCTAGAAAAACTAGAACAGTGAACTGCTGCTTTTGGGTTGGACACTATTCCTCTTCCAAGAGAATTTGGCTTTTCTATATCATCATTATTTTCATGTCTGATCTCCTTGAGCATTGCTGTTACATCTTTCATTGTTGGCCGTTCCTCAGGGCAAGAATTTACACAGAGGAGAGCCACTCCTAGAACTTGAAGCATTTCTTGAATTTGTGTACTTGATCTCATTAGTAGTTGCTGGTCAAGAATTGTTGTGAAATCTCTTTTCTTTTCTCTAAGTTCCCTGTTGATCCAAGTGATAATGTGGGCACCGTCTGGAATCTGTTTATCAGTTGGTTCCTTTCCAGTTATGAGCTCTAGAAGTACCACGCCATAGCTATACACATCACTCTTCTCTGTGATCTTCAAGCTGTATCCATATTCTGCAAGATAACTTTCACAAGCTATGTTATATGGTTCAGAACTTGAAAACTTAATCAATTACAAGTCTGCATTTAAGTTTGTGATATTTCTTTAAAAATTAAATCAAAACACTTTGGAATTAACAAAAATGGGTTGGCTTAAGTGTAATGAAAGGAATGTACATTCTTGAGAAACTGGTGCAGTTGTTTTAGACATTGCAGAACTTGAAAGCATTATGTACTCACCAGGCGCAATGTACCCATAGGACCCTGCTACTATGTTCGAAACCCTTGAATTTTCTGAAGAATCAACAACCTTTGCAAGTCCAAAATCTGCAAGAAAAGCTTCAAATTGTGGTCCTACCAAGATGTTGTTTGCCTTGATATCGCGGTGAACTATTGGAGGTATGCAGTCGTGGTGAAGATAAGCTAAACCATGAGCTGCTCCCAGTAAAATCTTGTACCTTGCATCCCAATCCAAGAAAATTTTCTTCTCATGGAGCAATCCAGCCAGGCTCCCATTACTGATATAATCAAACAAGAGCAATCTAGTTCTTCCATTTTTGCAACATCCCAGAAGCCTCAATATGTTTTTATGCCTTATTGATCCAAGAGTCTGAACTTCTGCGGAAAACAAGTCTCTCTCCGGAAGCTCACCATTCTTTAATGGCCATAGCTTCTTCACTGCAATAACCTGTTTCGTTGGAGTCTCAACACGATAAACCATCCCGGAACAACCCTTGCCAACAATGTTTGTATCAGACAGCTTTGTCACGATATCATTTACGGAGAAATTAAGCTTTTGAAATGGGGTGAAATCCCACTCCAAATCATTTTCTTCGTCATCATTCTTTCTAAATGTGTCTCCGCGAACTCTGATAAATAACATAACTCCTAAGAATATAATCAGCATAGTTACCGTTACGCTGAGAAAAGCACAGATGATAAGATTTTTGCTGGATTTCTTGCCTTGAAGACTGTCTTTCATGTGACACTGAGTTCTGTTAATGCAGAGCTCTTTATTCCCAGAAAATGCAGAAGCAGGAAGGTCATGAAAGAGCTTAGTACTGGGAAGGAGACCTGAAAAATTATTGTTTGAGACATTCAGAGAAACAAGGTTGTCAAGACTACCCAGTACTCTCAAACTTCCTGATAGCATGTTGTTGGAGAGGTCTAAGTTGGCAAGTTTTGAGAGGTTTGAGAAGCTTTCCGGAATGGGGCCTGTTAAAGCATTCCAACTCAAGTTCAAGAGGATATCGAGTCCTTGCAAGCAGCCAAGCTCTTCGGGGATGGAACCAGTGATTCTATTACTGCTCATATCCAACAGCTGCAAATCCTTACAGAGCCCTAGTGACTTTGGAATCAAACCAGTGATGTTGTTTGCACTGATTACCAGTTTGTTTAAGGATGTCAGCTTGCCCAAATTTTCAGGAATTGTGCCTCCTATACTGTTCATTGAAAGGTCTAAAACATTAAGACCAACAAGGAATCCGAAAGATGTGGGGATTGTTCCTTGAAGTTTATTTTTATGCAAATCTACCAGTTCTAATTGAGTGCAGTTACCAATTTCAGGAGGAATGTCTCCTATGAATTGATTTTCTGCCAACTCAAGGAAGCTCAATCTATGTAAACGCCCTATTTCTGATGGAATATAACCGGAGAAGTTGTTTGATCCTAATCTTAAACGGATCAAGCCATTGCAACTGCCAATATTAGGTGGAATTTCACCCGAAAATTTGTTTGATATCAACAACAACTGAGTTAAGTTCTTGAGATTGAAAAGAGAACTCGGAACTGACCCGGTAAGGAAATTGTGTGAAAGGTCCAGTGCTTGAAGTTTCTTACACTTGGCTAGTTCATCCGGTATGCTTCCATGTAGCTGATTCTGCCAGGCATAGAACAGTGAAAGCTCCTTTAACTGCCCAATAGTGGGTGGAATCTCACCAAAAAATTTGTTGTTATCCAACTCCAGTTGCTTTAGACTTGAAAAATTGCCAACAAATGATGGTATCTCTCCAGAAATGTTGTTCCCTGACAAAAGAAGCTCCTCCAATGCAACTAAATTTACAAGAGACACAGGAACCTCACCACTTATAGAATTCAAAGAGACATCGATAACTGTCAAACTAGAACAATTCCCCAAAGTTCCAGGAATTCTCCCACTCAGATTGTTCTGCCATAATAACAACCTTTTGAGATTTTTCAATAAACCCAATTCCTCAGGAATCTTCCCAGAAATTTGATTTCCATAAAGAAACAAGTCCTCTAAAGCTGAGCAGTTACCAATTTGTGGTGGGATATAACCAGTGATGTTGGCAGTGTAGACTGAAAGAGTCTTGAGATTCTTCAGCTCCCCAATACTACTTGGAATCTGTCCTGAAATCCCGGTATCAGCCAGACCAAGAAGCACTAGTTCCCTGCAGTTTGATATTTGCTCTGGAACTTCACCATGAATTCCTGAATTACCACCTGCCCGGAAGATTTCTAGATCCCACAACTCGCCTAATTCAGCTGGAATCTTTCCTGACAGCTGGTTATCAAACAGTTCAAGCTGTCGAAGCTTCGAACAGTTTCCAATTTCTTTTGTTATCTCACCATGTAAGATATTGGAATTAAGTGACAGTAACTGCAATTCAGCTAACTTTCCTATTTCAGCTGGAATATTCCCTGTCAAAGAATTGAAGCTGAGGTCCAAGTTAATCAATGAAGAGAAATTTCCAATTGCAGGCGGAATTTCTCCGGTGAGGTTCACATTTGAAAGTACTAGAGTGGTGAGATGACTAAAGGATATAAGCTGAGAAGGGAAGCTTGTGGGAATATGAATAGAAGTTATAGTGATTTCTGAAACAAAACCATCACTGGAACATTTGACATAGTCCCAGTTGCATGGAGTTTGGTGTGTTGGATTCCATGAAGTGAAAAAACTAGCAGAAGAATAAGACTCAAAAGTTGAAAGCCATGAAAGTAGAGAGAGACCTTCTTGGTTCAAGGCAGAGATGGCTGGAAACAAAGAGATATTAAGAACCAAAAGAATAATTATGATTGCATTGCTTGACATGATGATTCTTTTTAAAATGTTTTTTATTTTTTTTGTGTCTTGCAACTGTTCTATCTCATCCAAATCTCTCCGAAAGTACCTTTTATCAAGAATGACGAAACACTGCCGGCGCCAAACCCACGGTTTCGTCCAGATTTACAATAAAGAAAAAGAAGAGTGATATTGTTTGCAATCTTGGAGGCTTTTGTATCTGCTTCTGGAAAAGCATTCATTTGTTGTATTGAAGCAGATTGAAAAAGGAAATGGAGAAAAAAAGGATTTATATCAGATGAATGTTATTGGTATAACTTATGAAGTGCTCAGATTGGATACACTACATAATTGGGGTTATGAAAAGCTTGTCTGCTTTTAGATTATTGGCAACTTTAATCACAACAGTACATATAACATACTGTATATAATGCTTGCATATTTAAAGTGTATTCTACTTTTGAGATCCATCAAGATTTTGTGACGCAACACTCCACTCTTCTCATTAAAATAATTTCTTCTATCAAATTATGAAATTAAGAAGAATATTTGCTGTGAAAATGACCTTGTTCACCTTCAAGTCTACTTCTGGGTTGTGCTAGATAATCTGACTGCGTAGAGTTAAGATTTATAGAGTTGTAAAAGTGAATTAGGATTAAAAATTTGTAGAGAAAGTGTTTGACAGTAACATATGGAAAGATCCAAAGGATTGACAAGTCACGAACAATGACTGTTCATCTTTAAAAAATGAAATGAAATGCATGACAATCAGTTGAGTGAAGATGACAAAACAACACCCGAAAAAGAGGTAGACACCACAACTTTTTTTCAGTGACATAATAATGGTAAGGCCTTAAAATCTGATCTAAAGTTGTTTTCATCAAACAATTAAAGTAAGCCATTCATCTCGTGCATTAAAATTAAAATTAAAATTATAAGATATGTCCTCATTCACACAGGACCCATTTATATTTGTGTTTTGTGTACATGAACCTTCTCTCTCACAAAAAATATATGCATTATTCATTTTGCTTTTGTTTTTGTTTCAGTTTTTTGCAAAGCCATCCCATCTTTATCAATTTTGCGTTTAACTTAATTTAATTTATTATTTTTATTTTTTAATCAGAACTGTCGGCCAATCCCTTTTAAGTAATTTATATAATTTTTTTCAACCATTTTTCTTTGATGGGACAAAGATAAATTCTAAGCTTTATTAAATCATCATAAGTCATGTATATTAGTAAAATATTTTTACTCAAATTTATAAATAAATAAATAATTTTTTTTTTTATATAGGTTGAGTTTGAAATTTAGTCTCTATTATCTATAAATATTTATTTATTGTAGCCATTTAATATGCCATTTACAGCTCAAAAATAGGCAATCATATGTGCATGCCCAACGAAATATATCGAAATTGGGGTCACTTGACTTAATTGCTAGGCCAACCAGGGGCAGATCTAACGTATATTGAGGCACAACCTCAAATTTTTTTAAGAAACTATTTATATGTAATTTTTTTTTCTTTTTATGACAATTTCAATTAAAAACATATAATATGAATATTATATGCTATTATATTTTATTTTGGCCCACCCTAACAAGAATTTCTGGATCCGCTATTGAGGCCCACATATTTATTTTGGGATTATAATACGAAAAAATATAGCAACAAATATTCTTCTTGCAACCATCTTGAACTTCTACTTTTATAAATAGTTTTTCATCAAAAGGCAAAAAATTTCAAGTTTTTATAAGATAAAGTTGACAAAAAATATTGTCTTTCAATATAATTTTATTAAGAATACTGGTATGAATTTTTTTTTATTTTTTATTTTTATGATAGAGGTGTATGAGCAAGTTTGTGTGCACGTCGACAAATTCTTGGGGTCATTGAATACCCTACAAACTCAATATTCTAAGGTAAATCATAAATATGATAGATGACCCCAATGGCGGATCCAGGATTTTTGTCAAGGGGGGGCCTCCGCGGGTCGGCCATTATTTGCCAAATAATTAGTGAAAACTTAAAAAAATCACCAAACCTTAATAAAAAAATAATATAATATTAAGAACTTGAGAAAAAAGAATATACATTAACACAATATTTTTTTACTTGAATAAATCTATGAGAAGCAAAATTTTGAGTAAAAGTGTTGAGTAAACCTTGAACAAAACCTTCTTTTAATATTTTTAATTTTGCCTTTCAAATATAATAATATAAATTTTCATAGCGTTGGTCAAACTTAGTCTAATTAAACTAAAGTCAGCCAAAACTTAAATCAAGTCAACGTTACGTTGACTTTTAATATGAATTAATAAAAGAGGGGAATTTTTTTTAGTATAAACATAGATAGTAACTCAAATTTTTTTAATAATTTTGAATAACTGAACGGTGACGTTTAAAATATAGGAAAGTGGTGGGTGAAGGATGAAGAATAACGTTCTTTAAAATATAGTTAAAGTTTTAATTTGAGAAAGCTACAGGTTCATTTTTAAACAGAAAATACAAAATCAACTCACAAGATTAATATTTTTTTCTCTCAAATTAGAATAAAAAACCTCAAAAAGAAAAAAAAAATGATTCAATCCTTAAATAAATTAAATTGAAATGAATATTACACATACCTAAAATCTATAAAACAGAAAATGAAGCTAATTATGACACTTTGAATAGTGAAAATTTAACAATTTCAGTTTTCAAAAATTTTAAGAGAGAATAACATGAGAAAGAGAAAGAGAGAGTAAAGAATTTGCGGATAAAATCATAAAAAAAACAGATAAAGCTGTGTAGGAAAACACTAGAGAGTTTTAAACTTTTAATATGATGTAGGCTTTGAATATATATATATTAATAACAAGTTTTTTGTAGACCTAGATATATAGTATGTATAATAATTCTTATTTTTTAAAAATTTGAAGGTACGTCTGAGTATATATGTTAATTAATAATTTTTTATGGCCTGTATATTAATAATTTTTTTTTCAAATATGAGGGTAGGCCTGGGGTTGAATCCGCCCCTGGATGACCCTAAACTTTGAACCCAAAAGATCAATAAAATGAGCAAACATTTTTAACCAGCAAGCTAACCCTTTAGAGTTTACTAGTATAAATTTTTGCTTTTATAAATATCCTCTGTACTCGAGATTTTTCATATGTATTAGTTATTCTCTCATGTGAATGTCTGAATTTTCATATGTATTAGTTATTCTCTAATATGATACGAATGTCTTGAGTTTATATATATATAATGAAAAAGCTGTAAACTTCGATATATTTATAGATTAGACCACACCCTAGAGATATATAGCTCAGAAAATTGTGTTAAGTTGCTATCAATAGCTGCAACATTCTTCCTACATTAACTTGGTCTAATTGGTTTGAATTAATTAAATTAGTTGATTATATATAGACTTATTTGAAATTGAATTTAACAACTTTTTCTGACAATTTATTTAGACACATATATATATATTTCAAATGTTCAGTCACGATGGACTTCTTGACCAACAATCAAAATGTTGAAAATTTTATATTTCACAAATGTGATTTAACTAAGAAAAGATGGTGATTAGATGTATTAATTGTATTTTAAATTATGAATTATTTGTGAATACAAGTTTAGAGTGACATATAGAATTAAGAACCCAAATCTAAAAGATGGATTCTGCATGGAGAATATTATAGAATTAGATAAAAGACAAAGAAATAGATAAGATTAAAGAAATGAAATTTTTAATTGAAGGCTAAGTAGTGTGGCCCAATGTTTGGAATAAGTTATGGATGGTGGGGGCAAGTGATTCCCCAACCATAACTAGTGGCCTCTTTTGATATTTACATTTTTTCCATTTGGATTTTTGCTTCGAAACTGATCAACCAATTTCACACCCCAAAAGTTTTATTATTTTCATTTTCAGATATCAAATCTATCACTTATCAATTATCGTTTGTGATAGGAGTGTATCATGCTCATGCATGCACCCACAACAAAAAATGTTCATTTCCAATGTTAACCCATTTCAATAAAAAAATATTTGAGGGTTCAAAGTCGTTGGAAGCCATTGTTGTTTCTCTTGTCAAGAAACTTATCATTCTAACGAGTTGATAGAAATAAAACTATTTCTAACAAAGATTAAAAACATTTATAAGAGTGAAAATTTGTAGGAAACATACTACATATTTACTAAGAGATGTGATCTCAAAATAGTCGAAGCATACCCTAAATTAAAATAATAGTCAAAACAATGAGTAAAAAGTGTGGATGCTTAAAAAAAAAAAAAACATATATGGAATAGTAAGTTTCCATTTCTCCAGGCAGATGCCAATGGCAACAGGTCTCTTATTTTAGATACAGAAAAAATACAGGCAATTATATATAGTTATAAAAATAGGTGACAATAATTGAGGAGATTTCTGCAAAAAGTTTCAATCTTTGTACCAAATAAACAATGGCCCAACAACAGCAAAAGCTTTTGCACGGTGGGGAATAGGGGCCGACTGCTTTGCTTCGGTTTTAATTTCTAAAGGACTCTTTTAAGTTATCAGATTCATAATAATATTCTTTTTTTTTTTTTAATAAATATTTCATTGGCATTAATTCTAAAAAGTGAGCCATGACAGTCAGATTTATTCCCATAATATTACAGTGTTTTGAAAAATTAATCAAGGCCAACTATCTCTGGGTGATCGAGTGATTCGATAGGAAATTCTGAATGTATTACTCAAGAGGTCTTGAGTTCGAATCCCTACTTGGGTGTAAATAAAGATAGCTACTGGAAATATTATTTGGCCGGTAGTTTTAGGATCCCGAAGGATTAGTTGAGGTGCATTTAAGCTGATCTGGACATCCCCAATCATAATAAAAAATAAAAAAATAAACGAGGCCAGAAATCCATTACCATAGAATTTATATACATATTTAAGGCAATCTCTTCCATGAACGGTCGTATTCTTTTCAAAGTAAAAAAATCGATTACCATAGCATTAAACAGTTAAGATTCAAATTTTAAGTTTGGATTTAGAATTATACGTGAGAATAATTTTGTGATATACATATACATAAAAATTCATTGAATTTTATTTTTCTTGATCCATTATGTTATGCCTAAAAAATTAGGGCTGATGTAAGCCTACATCAACTAATTCCAATAAGAGTTCAGGAAGACTTTGCGCCGTCCAGGGGTTACCATGTCACCTTAAGGCAGAGAGAATACGGCTGTCACCAACTTGACAGATTCAGGTTTTGTCTATAAGTGAATGAGAGCTGCAC